CAGATCGAAATCACTGTACACATGTCTAGTGAGGATATACATAGTATGTCCTCAACTAATCCCTTAAGGAAATTGGACATGAAGGACGCAATAGGGACATAATCGTACATCCATAGGATATTGCGTGCTATATGGGTTGGAATCATGTAGTTTCTAATGAAAATCCTGCGGATATTATATCTCGTGGTCAAACACTCTCCGAGTTATTAAAAAATGACTTTTGGCTGCATGGTCCCACTTGGTTGCTAGAACCAGAATGTAAATGGAATAAATTGAAATTGTCAAATTGTTCCTTAATTACGCGCTAATGTTTCACTAATTGTAAGCGATAAATCATATAAAAATGAATTCAGAAATGATACTTTTGAGAGATTTTCGTCAATAATCGCTTTAAATAGATTTGTAGCTCTCTGTCGTAGACTTAGTGTTAATGAAATAAACAATGCTCATTTGCAAGTAATAAAAATAATTCAAGATTTCCGCTTTAAAAAAGAAATTAAAGCTTTAAAGAACAATAAAGAATTACCTTCAAAAAGTGAAATAATTTGTTTAAATCCTATTTTAGATTCTAATGGTATTTTACGTGTAGGTGGCAGGCTAAGAAATGCTACAGTCGAGTATGGCCAGAAATATCCTATTCTGTTGCCACGTAAAAATCACATTACGACTTTAATTATAAGAAATGAACACATAAATAATTGGCATTCGGGTATATTAGCAACGTTAAATTCTGTGAGACGTAATTATTGGCCAATAAATGGTAAGAATCTCACACGATATATTATACACAAGTGCATTCGGTGTTTTAAGTTAAGTCCTAAATTACCAAATTATATAATGGGAGAATTGCCGAAATCGAGACTTACACAATCCAGACCATTCGAAAATGTCGGGATCGATTATTCTGGTCCATTTTTGTTAAAGGAAAAGAAAATTCGGAATAGAAACAAAATCAAATCATATCTAGCAGTATTTGTCTGTTTCACTACAAAAGCAGTTCATTTAGAACTCGTTACAGAATTAACGACGGAAATGTGCATGAAGGCCATCAAACGTTTCATTGCTCGAAAGGGTAAACCGAAAAACATTTATTCGGACAATGCTACTAATTTTATAGGAGCTAAAAATGAAATTGCAAAGGTTAAGGCATTTCTCTTGTCAACTGAAAATAATAATTAGTTATGGCGTTGTCTCGAAAATGAAGTTATTAACTGGCATTTTTCACCACCTCGATCACCTCATTTTGGAGGGTTGTGGGAGGCGTCAGTCAAATCATTTAAGCATCATCTATATCGCACAATAGGTCACACAATGTTCACATATGAACAGTTTAACACTTGTATAATCCAGATTGAATCAATCTTAAATTCCAGACCATTAGCTCCCCTATCTTGTGATCCTAATGATCTAGCTGCCTTAACCCCTGCCCACTTCCTTATTGGAGATTATCTAACGAGCATACCAGAACAGGACTTAACGCAACTACCTGTCAACAAATTATCCTTGTGGCAACAAATCCAAAGGATAAAAAAACATTTTTGGCAAAGGTGGCATAAACAATATTTAAATGAACTTCACACAAAAAGAAAATGGCACCTGAATGGAAATGAAGACATCAAAGTGGGCACCTTGGTGACTATTAAAGAAGATAACCTTCCTCCCATGTACTGGAGTCTTGGTCGTATCATCGAACTTCACCCCGGTCAAGACAATGTTGTGCGTGTAGTTACAGTGAAAACTAAAACCGGGACTTACAAAAGAAATGTCAAAAAACTATCACCGCTGCCAATAGAAGTGAATAATTAGTGATGTAGTTTCTATTGCGGGTTTAGGTTTTACCTACATATACTTTAGATTAATCATAAGCTATTGTAATTGTTTTCTTAAGTATATCACAAATTTCTTACTAATATTAGTCTAACAGTATAGTGCTTAATGACATTTTGAACGGCAGTCGTTCAAGGCGGACGGCATGTTGCATCTTATACAATACTATAGGTTTTATTTTATTTTGCATACAAATTTTATTATTGNACCCATATCCTTAACTATTTGGGAACAGTAATCTAATTTAGGTCTACCTCTACCCCTCCTAACTCCTGTTTGTGCCTCTAATATGTCACTGACTAGACCTTCATACCTGAGAAGGTGTCCTACTAACCTATCTCGCCTATTTCTTATTGACTTCCATAGAGTCCTCTGTTCTCTTACTCTTTCTAATACCTGTTCATTTCTAACCTTCTCCATCAACGGTATCCTCATCATTCGCCTGTAACACCACATTTCGAACGCTTCTAACCTTTTCTTTTCCGCCGCACCCACTATCCATGCTTCGTACACGTACAGCGCCGTGTTCCAAGCATACACCTTTAACAACCTTTTTCGAATTTCTAAATTAACCATTCGGGAGCATTATTGAAGGCGACTCGACCCTGCGCTATCATCTTTATATCCCTACTACTGCTTCCGTCCTGACTTATCTGACATCCTAGATACCTAAAATCGGCCACTTCTTCTAATTTTTCGTCTTCTTTCTTTATATTCGCTCATACCAGTATTTTAGTTTCACTTTTATTTATTTACATACAGTACTGTTTTGTCAATACCGCTTCCATTTTATTTAAAGCTACGTCTAGGTCCTCCTTGTAAGATGCCAATACTGCTATATCATCTGCAAATCTAAGCATACTAATTTTTTGTCCCTGTATATCTATCCCTACAGTTGTACTGTCTTTAATGACGTTGATCGCGTCTTCGATGTATAGATTAATAAGTAGCGGTGACAGTGTACATCCCTGTCTGACTCCCTTCATAATATTTACTTCTCTACGTTGCATTTCTAGCTCTATAACTGCCTGTTGCTCTTTATACAAACTAAATATCACCCTTCTATCTTTGTAACTCATCCCTACATTTTTAAGTATATTTAACATCTTGTCCCATTTAACATTGTCAAAAGCTTTCTCTAAATCTACAAATCCTATGTACGCACTCTTTCCTTTTTCTATCGTTTTCTCTATTGTTACCCGTAAAGCTAGAATGGTCTCCCTATTTGATCAA